AAAATTACCCAGTAAAATGTTTTCCTCCACAGAAAGTTAAAAAAAAGATTTTGGAAACATACAAGAAGTCCTGAGAACTACTTTGTAAGATATGGGATTTAGCTGTGGTGCTACAGGAAGTTTCCAATCTGAGTCATGTTATGTGGTTTAACTTTTTTTTTTTAATTTCAGAAATGTATGTAAGTACTGATTTTTAGTTCTGATTGTTTCCAAGTGCTTCCACCCTACACAATACACTACAGAAATTAAAAGTGCTTTTGAAACAAATGATTGTGTATAGCAATAGCCAAAGACTACAGGGGAAAGCAGAACTTGTATAGAAGAAAACAAGCAAAGAAGTAAATCTTGCAAAATATTTCATAGGTATGAAAACAATTTCTCAGTATCCACAATGAATTAGCAGCCCCACTGCAGAAATTACTCTTTGCAGATTTTACGTAATCCAGATAATAAATCAGATCTATCATTTAAATAAGATGAACAAAGCCATCACTGGTCAGATGTACTGCAACAAATTAAGGGGAAAGAAAGTGAGGTTATGCAAGCTTGTTTTACACACAGCACTCACTGAAGTTAAGCACAAACAAAAACAATCTGGGGAAGAGTTCAAATTTCCCCAAGGTTTCTAACTTCCCAGATTTCATTCCACTTTCCTCATTAGAAGTTGTAGCTTTTAAAGTGTAAATGCACTAGGTTATTTATTTCCAATAGAAATGTTTAATTTCCTTACAAGTTCTTACTGTTTTCAACTCTATGCCAGGCCAAAGAGAAGACTGTTTTCTCCACCCCACCCACATTATGAAACTCCACTGCACACCCCTCTCTCAGCCATGCTGCACACAATGGCCGTTAAGTCTCTGGAACCTGCTGACAGAATCTGCCAATACACAGGGCAAGGAGAGCAGAGCTGAGTGGTGTTCCCTGGGATTTAAAAAAGGCACCATTGGTCAAACAAGAATAGTTAGGGATGTTTAAGAAACCAAAACCAGTATTCCATTTAGACTCCAAAATTGTAAGTGATCGTGAAAGACAAAGAAAATGGGTATTAACGTTAACATAAAAATAATTTTTAAATTCAGTGTTTATTTGTCACATACCAACTGCTTTTTCCTTCATTCCTTTCTGTTTCTGATCTTTGGAAAATCCACATCAGTATCAAATGTCACTTAGCTCTTATTCAAACAGAGGAAAGCAGACACAGCGGCTGCACCAGTGACTTAGCTGACCTAGGCCCTCAGTAAAAACAAACCTCTATAAATCACCAGATGTAAGCAATTGGGTAGTGATCATTTTAATTAATTGAACAGCTTTCCTGAAATTTACTATATAATTTCAACCCTCCCAACACCTTTGCCAGAAGCAACTAATAATGATTTTCTTTTTCTTAAATTGTTTAAAGGAGGAATACATTTTTAATTTCAGCGGCTTAAACGTATTTTTTAATTCTTCAAGATTAAGGTAGTAAGCTACTTAATTTCAGAAATCATGTGCCTTTCAAATGCTACTTTTAAATGCCAAAAGTCAAAATTATCCC